TTGGTGTTTACTATTTCGGTTTAGTCAATTTCCCGTGTTGCCACGTGGTTGAATAAGAATTGCCTAAAATCATCATTTGTTTACAATTTAGAAGTTATTTTTTTATTGCATCAAATAGAAAGTCTCACTTAAATCGGTTTTCAATCTTCTTATTTTTAATTCTATTCGGTTCACTTCTCCTCTACTTTTAATGAACCAAGGTCACCCATATGATTAAATAAAATTCATTTCATTAACTGAAGTGACTAAGTGTAGTCGGGTTCTGTATTCTGCCACATGATTAGGCAGTCTAGCCTAAGCTTCACATTCACTAATAAATCTCTTGAAGATTATCATGGAGGCAAACTAATCCCGCCTGGTGAATAGATGAAGGTCAATGACGCCTATAAAGCCTACAATTCACACACATGACGCTCCGTTATTCACATTATTACTCTACTGATGTACGTGAAATAATCCGAGTCTAATGATTGTAAAACCGTATACATTACATTTATTTATACCTGAATATAAGTAAATATTTTTTTATTGGAATCATTATGAATTTGAGTGCAAATTTGTTTTGCATTTGAGGGTCGACCTAGCATGCAGTGAAGTCTAGACGAATAATCCTCGCCTTAAAACGATGCACAGTTAACGATGTTTGCAATAATCATAATTTGTACGATGATTTTACCGTTTGTCAAGCTAATCTGCTGGCAGTCAAGATCATTGTTTCCAAGCCTACACTCCTGATACCGTGTCCGAATCATGACGGCTTTCATCATGTATGATTACTCATAGTACATGAGTTGTATCAAGCATATTGAAATGATGATTGTTCATAGCCTATCAGTTGAAACAGACATGTTATCATGCTCTCTTTCTCTGTCAACTTGGCATGCTTTCAGGCCCATGTCTCATGTTAACATGCTCCCAGACGAGCATGTTGACATGCTCCCAGACTGGCATGTTGACATGCTCCCAAACTGGCATGTTGACATGCTCCCAGACTGGCATGTTGACATGTTTCCAGACTGGCATGTTGACATGTTCCCAGACTGGCATGTTTTCACTGTGGCATTGGTGACGTTGGCCGCCGATTGGCCGCCGGTTGGGCGGTTATAAGTTAGCCATAATTATGAAGTGCGATAAGCTTTTAATTTCAACGAAGATAATGAAACCTCGCAGAACTCCACAAAATATATTTCCAGATCAAAATTGAACAACGAAGACACTCATTCGTTATATTATACCAGTATATGTGGTATATAATTATACCCAGTATATTCATACGATACAATAACTTTAATTAAAAGATAAGGATTTGAAAGAAGATTCAGCTTTTGTTGGGCATGAGAATAACAGTCAATCAGAGACCACCGAGTCTCACAGATGTCTGAGGTAATTTCTGAATCTCCCTCATAATTTCCAAAATTCATTTCATGAATTCCCCGAGCATCGCGCATGCTAAAAGTTTAATTCTGAATGCTAATCTCACTTTAATATCATAAATTCTCATGTCATTGCTGCGCACAGAATCATTCATAGTGAATTCATCTGCCATTTAAAGGACTAGAACGCTTCATGCTTCTTCCTATGACAGTTTATTCAATAACATTATAGACGACAGGAACATTATACACAAGAGATCCAATAGAGCGACACGGACACTAAAAACTAACGACGCCTTTGGGAAGTCAGAATGTCACACACTCATACGAGGCCTTTTTGATGTATAATCGTAAATTTAAATTAATAATAGTTTTTATTATCTGTTAATCGAACCTGTGAGTCATTTATGACGATTTAGAACTAGATATCATAGTCGATTATGGTTCAACGAGAACATTTCCTCTGAGTTCTTCGATTCATCCTCACAAATGTTTTTTGAACAATCAGAAGCTGAAGTTTATCTTTAGTTTTGTTTCAATAATTAATATAGTTGTTTAGTGTCGAGAAATAATGTTTCTACTGTGGCATCGTAATCATTTTCTAAGACACGATTTCTGATAAACAACATCGTAAGGCAATTGAAATTATAAATTACGACACAGAAGACAACGCATTTCACCCATCAGAAACATATACGTGTAAAATACGATGACATCCATCCATCCAATTCAATCTTCAATAAATATTAATTTCAAAGGTCAATTTTCACAGACCACCACAGATATTCGTGTATATTTTCATTGGACTGCTTATTAGGATAGCAACAAAAATTTATAGACGGTCTGTGCGATGGTTGAATTCGTACTCTTTATTATATGTTGCCATTATTGACGGTACATAGAATTTAATGAGCATGCATGGGGACGAAGATGCTACAGAATGAGCGGGATAGAGTCAATCTTTCTTGGAAACTTCTTTCGTAATTCATGAAGAAGGGTAGTTTTATTTTTCTGGTTATTTTCAATTTATTGTTTATTAATTTATAGTTAATATTAGTAAAATTTTACACACGGAGAGGTTTTCTTCAATAACTCAGCGCGATTGCGTTTGGATTAGGACATTTTAATACTTGAAATTCTACGGAGGTTGCAACCTGAATTTAATTTATTTCAAATTTTCATATAGTTAACAATTTCGTTAAATGTAATGTTGATTATCCAGTCTACCAAGCGTAACCATGAACAATTCGTAACAGGAACACGCGAGGCTACCATCTTGATCCATGCCCGTTCGTTTCTGAGTACATTTGTAAAGATTTAACCACAAACATTTATACTTCATTACAATGATGTTTGATTGATAATAATCTCCTTACGTACTGAACGATGTAGGTCACGTTAGACGCGTTGTTAAAGACACAGATGACAATAGTGCTGACGAGGTCTCAATAACGTGCTGTTCACATTCAAAAGGTTAACCAGCAAGAACCTTATCTTAACAGTTATAGAAAAGAATACTCGTTCCAACGCACAAATTGATTGTGGAATTTATTGTACACATTTTCGAAGAATGAGCCGTACATGAACCCGAAAATTGAAACAATAATTTTTTTCAACTGACATTATCGGGATCAACAAATAATTGCTTTTTAAGCTCTTGTCGGACAGTTCTTCGCAAAATAATATTTTACTGATCGTAAAGAATTTCTAAACGACTGACATTGTTGATAATAATTCGGATAGAAAAAGAGGTTGATTTTTATACGAATGACTTCATGGGATTAATTATAGGAATAATTTTACCTTTTTCGTTAATACCAATTTGTGAGGGGAAGTACTGGATCAATTAGGTCACCGACTATTTTATTTAACGGGGCCAGTTTCAAAACCGGATCAAAAAATCTCATTTTACCGATATAATGATTTTTCAACGTTATTCTCCATTTGATTCTTTCAGTTGAAATTTATTTTCTAGGGATTTACAGAAGATGGTTTAAAAATTCTATTACTTCATTTATTTGTTGATATACAAAACATGGAATAATTATGCCCGCTACAGTCCTCGAAAATCCATTCAATTTGATGCATTTCACTGTATCGCAAAAAAAAAAAACTACAGTAAAGGGTCTACAATGTCTGGCAGATAACATCAATGGTGTGACAATGAGAGGGTATTATCAGAGTCAAAGATTGAATTCATGCTAAGGGGAAAATTCGGTAGAAGCAATAGAATTTTAGTGGAGAACTTCAACATTTAAGGCATTTCTCCACACTACGTCATGTTTCTGGGCAGCTGAGCCTCTTTGTTATCTGCTGATAGCTGAATTTTTGTATGATTTTATATTAACCAAAACGAAAAATAATTTCAAACTGTTCGATTAAATTACTTGGAAATTCCCGACGCTGAATCCCCTTTTATGCTGTTTCTTATTTTTTTATTCTTCACCAATGAGTAGTTTTAAATTTGGCTTTGTAATTGAATTCGATATTTTCCAATTATAAAAATTAGTTAATATTCACTTTTAAAAAAGTTGACATCTCCCCACTGAACAGCTAATGAAACTCTTTTTTGAAACCCTTTTTTTTATCGGTTCGAATTTATTTATGAGACAATTAAATTCAATTTACACTACGACAAATTTAGTGTCAAACAAGAACAATGACAATTATATTGGAAATGAGCAAACGGACTGCTCTAGCATGGTCCAAATTCTTCGTTGTAGTGCCCAATCTATTCTTGCCAATTCTAATTGAGTTCATTTGATATGTTGACGTCACAGAAGCTTTAGATTTACAACGAACTAATGACTGCTTCTCTCCCTATGTTCTTCCACCGTGTTTTCTTTGATCCTTGTACACGTGGTTATTAGTGGCTGCCACTATAATTTGACAATTTCAACAGCCGCTAATTATCGTGCTGTTGATCTCATGTTTCTTGCTACCGGCCCCTTGGCTGTAGCGCGGCAATTAGTAACAGATTTTACTGACCAATTCTAATGGCCAATAATACTGGCCTCATGTATAAGGATACAGACTATTTTTCCAGCACCATGATGGTAAGTGGCAGTCAGTACTGAAAAGTTACAATGGCCTCCACTTCTGGCCACGTGTACAAAGGCCCCCCCGGACTCGATGACTACACAAGAATCCCAGTCACACACGACGCTCACCACAGACAGCTTCATGCCTACCAGTTAACAAGGCTCGGTTCATTTAACCGCCAATTTTGCTCGATAAAAATGTAGCGATAAAAATCACATAGCATTTCACATAGCTTTTTCCAGTTATTACTAAATCGCGTAAAAAATAAGGAAGTTTAACACACGCAAACTCATGTTAAAGCTCGAATTTTATTATGTTGAGTAAAATTCACACAAAAAATACTGAGATTTCACTAACCTTTAAATGGAATGTACGAGAACTTCTATACTGAGCCTCGACTCCTTTGTTGAAGTCAGTGTGGCATTTTACATACAAATGTCGATACTTTTACTGCCGGGACAAGAGATGCATGCTTAATAATAGGAATAAGGGAAGCAAATGCTCTCTGAACTTTAATGTCAAATAATTCTCACGCTTGCGGCCGATTCATTTGAAGCAAAAACTCCTTGAATTTAAACTTCAATCTTATACCTTGGCCACAACAGGAGACTTGCGTGTGGAGCAGGCAGCCACGGTGAGGGCTATGGCCCCCATCAGCAGGATGAGGGCCCCAAGGATGACTGAGAGCCGGAACACTGGTGAGGAACACATCGATGTGTTCTTCACGAGGAACACTCCTTCATCTGATGTGTACTGCGTCAGACAAACCGCCATGTTATCAGCTGAGTAAAATATATTCAAGTTAAGTTAGGGCATTTGGAATTTGTTCGTAAATTTGTTGATTTCATTTCATGAGATTTGCTCATATTTTTAATATATTATTATTATCAATCATTAATATCATATCCAATGAAATGGAACTAGGATTCCATTGAGCCAGAATAATAGGGTCCGATGGACTTATTAATTATTCATTAGGTTTAACCATTTACAAGGCATCATTTTGTTTTTTCTCAGATCAGGTTTATTGATAAACTGATCAATCTACACGAATATTTCTATGACCACACCTTTGGCTGGAAATGTATACTTTTAATTTTTATTGGTTTCATTTTTTAGAAGCTGTTTCTTTCGGCGCTGTCCTTGACATTTTTTAAGAAGTTTATTTCTCAGGGCCCTCGCGGGTCTCAAATTTATGCAAAACATCAAATTCAGATCTGAGATTCGCATCTAATATTTTTATTTAGTGTGATAATGACCAATCATATCTCAAATTCCAAGCAGTGGCATCATCTAGTAAAGCTCAAACACTAGAACACATTTTCAATGAAGATGTGAAATGAAATTTTTTCTCGTCTGAGTGCATAACATTGACAGCATTAAAAATGTTCAGTCGTACCATATATTTTAGAAACATTTTACGGGTAATTAAATTCCGACAACCTTTCACGACGAAGATCAACTGTAAAAAAGTCCCGGTATTTTCTTATTATTTCGCAAATCGCAATTGAGGCGATTCAAGAAAAGGAAAAGAGATCAGGTTGCCCACATTGCCGTAGCCTATTCAAAAGAGGAGTCACGGCATGGCAAAATAAGCTCATGTTTTCGTTTTGATCTCCGCCTGAAAAACAAAGCAAAGATCCATGAAAGCTGAACGCTTGGCCTATGAGCAGCGGCAGCATAAGTTATAAGCACAGCCTACGGCCTCGACATTACGAGGTCGCAGCTCCACTTGACGCCACTTCGCTCATCATTTTTTTGCAAGGTGTTGACATTTTCCATCTTGATATGATAACGTTATTATATTTGATGCTTGTTGACATACCTAAACCTTGATATAAGTTATTATAATATTTTTGCAACGCGTTGCCTAGCGTCCACCTCGGTAAAGTTATTATAATGTTTTTGCAACGCGTTGATATGCTTAAAATTACTAATTGCTGCAGGCGAAGAGGGTGTTGTAACCTTCGTATACATTTTAATTCATGATTGGCTTGAATGAATTTTTTTCCTTAGTTGCCACAATATTTATACGAAGACTGTATGAAATACACCGCTTCGTAAATTTGGGAAATCCACGATTTTCATTGGTATATCGTAGACTTAATTATTTTGGTAAGACAGAGTTCATTGGCTGCGGAGCTATTATATTGAGATTTGGTTGGAGCTTTTTGCGGCCAATACTTGTTCTCCCTGCCCAGTTAGGCTACACCGGCCTACGTTGTAATATTACTATAAAAATTGATAAATAATGAAAGGAATAATAATAATAATATTTAATATAATAATATTTGGTAAATAACAAACGATACTCTAAAATAATAATAATTGGGGCCGTCAGCTATGTTTACTTGTCATCATGAGCTCGCAAACGAAATGTCTTCGTTAACCCTCGAATTTTTTGCAATATTCCTTTTCTTCACAAGTGTTTCTATAACGTGAAAAAAAATCAGAAATCAAAGTAGCAAATAAAAAAATCTCAGATAATAACTCAAACGAACGGCAAAGCAGAAACATTTTCCCTGCAGCTCAATGATGATATTCGAAAATTCAAATTTTCGACTGAAAACAAGAAGTTCAAACAATTTGTTTAGCCTCACCGGTAAAATATCTTCGTAAATACTGGGGTCTTTGACGTTGGGCTTATCATAGAAGTGATGGAGGTAGTTTTTGACTCCGAAAAATGGACAGCCCAGGCTCGAAGGCTCAGCGATAGGAGACGATGGATCTTCCTGGGCTCGGTTGGGTTCTGATGAAGCGTTCTCAGCCTCGTCGTCATTGCCAGCTCCAGAACTGCCCTCAGGCTCCTCGTTTTCTGGGACTTGTTCCAAGTGCGAGACCAAGTCCTGAAGTCTCTTGGAACTGTTCCTGGTGACGACTCCTTTGTCTCCTGAGGACTTGTTAGTATTGCACTTTACGTTAGTGACGGTAGAACTTTCCGACACGACGGTTATTGGTGGCGCAGGGGCTGGATTTTTGCGACTTTTCATCACTGATGGAGCTGAACTTGTGCCGGCTTGAGCGGATTTTCCGCTACTAGATTTCCAAACATCAGGGTCCTTCCTGATGGCCCCTGTCGCGATGGGCTGCTGCACCAGAGGTTCAGACTCACTGGGCTCCGAATCCGAGTCTTCCAACATTTTCTCCCAATGCTTCCTGCAACAAGAAAATTGTTCTATTAGGTTTAGAATTTAAAGAAACATGCTTGAAATGAAGTTTAAATTTGCCCTTCAAACGTCTTGCCTCTTGCTTGCTTGCAAATCAATATATTCAGCTCTATCTTTGTGATCACAAAGCGGATATATTTGCCCACTCTCTTCACTTCCATGGCTGCCATATGTACTTTGAATGCCAATGGTGAACAGTATTTTCCGTGATTGGTTCGCCTGATATTTTCCCTTTTTTAAAATGCAGTGCCCAGTTTCCATAGTATTTTATCCCAAAACATGATGTTTTTATTGTAAGTTTACTTTAATATAATTAGGAACGCGCTGTTAGAGAAATAAACGGGTTATATATTGGCCACGAAGTCGCAATTTTGGCACGTCGAACTAATATACCCTAATCCAGGCTAAACTGGGTCAGGATAACCAACACAAGAGCATCGCTATTTGGACAATGTCCCTCTCACTTATCTGAGTGTGACTTCTTTCCTGATGTGTGAGTGCAACGTTTCTATATCATCAGATCTATCGTCACGAGACTATAGTTTGTTGGCATAAATCGGAATTTGCACAACGGTTAGCAATCTCACTTTAAATTTCACTGCACTGTAATGGACTAATTTGATCACATTCCTCTACTATTTAATTTATTTGCTTTGCATCAAAATATGCATCCCTGCATAATTTATTTACTCCCTGTTAAAAATAGCAAATGGAATAGAATGCCTGTTAATTTTAGATCCATTTTGTTGTTCAATAAGAAGTTATTTTCATTCAATTGCCGCTGATTGATTATATTCTTATTATCAATTAACATTTCTCAGAAACCAAATAACTAGTATTTCAATTTAACAATGATTGCGCTGGCTGAAGTTGATCCAACACCTCCGCGAGCAACGGACATTTCTGTAGGCGTAGGCGTGTCTGCGTTGGGTGCTAACAAAGAGCCATCGACCTGTGCTACCATCCACCCACCCCATCATTAGACTTATAGAATTTCATAGGCTAAAGCTACAACTTTACGATTCACCTGCACACCTCATCGTAAGGCCTAGTACGTCTTTTATAACCTCATGAATTTTCATTATGATAGATTCACTCGCAACAGAGTATGATTTCTAGTCTTTTATTGTCTTAAGGATTCTCATTACGATTGCCCACTCGCCACATTGTAAGACTTCTTGTCTTTCATCTCCGTAAGCTCCCTCATTACGATCCCCCACTCGCCGCTTCGTAAGATGTAGCGAGTAGGTAATCTTCTTCATTACGATCCCTCAACTCGCCACATCGTAAGAATTCTTGTCTTTCATCGCCAAAAGCTTCCTCATTACGATCCCTCCACTCGCCACATCGTAAGACTTCTTGTCTTTCATCGCCGTAAGCTTCCTCATTACGATCCCCCACTCGCCGCTTCGTAAGATGTAGCGAGTAGGCAAGCTTCCTCATCGCTCCTCGTTACAGTGATTGACTCCTTCATGCTACTCGAGGGGATTGGTCGAACGATTCTTCTCGAGTTGATGAGATAAGAGAACAATGTTGTGCAGATCTCGGTGAAGAGAGCACAATGTTCTACTGGTCTCTGGGATGCAGAAACGATGCTTTTCGAATCTCTGTGATAAAGGAGAGATGTTTCAGGTCTCTGTGAGAAGACCTGAAACGCTATTTATCCCAATAACGCTATTGGGATAAATAGCGCTATAGCGCTATTTAAATATAGCGCTATTTCAGCGCTATTAAAATATAGCACTATTTCAGCGCTATATAACATAATAACGAGCATTACATAATAACGAGCATTACATAATAACGAGCATTACATAACTACCGTCAATATTACTTTGGTTTGGACAGCTGTTCAGCCGCTCGACAGTAACATATCAGAAGGCTTGTTGCTGGGCTGCATCAACGGAGAATGTTTATGCTTTGTTTTAGGGCTTTGTTTTAATGCTGAAAAGCTCGGCGCGTGACATCGTCCGCTAGAATAACTCGTGCTCTGCATTAGCCGTCGCGAGCCCAAAACTTTGTTTCCGTCAACGCGGTTAATGCGCTGAGACCGCCGCGTCCTAAATCCTGGTGTAGGATGTGGTCTGTACGGTACCACATCCTACCTGACCTGAGACCTGAGACTTGTGTGGTGTAGGATGTGGTGTGAAATTTGTACCTTAGACTCGTGGTGCGTAGGATGTGGAATGAAACTTGTACCTGAGACTTGTGGGGTGTAGGATGTGGTGTGAAACTTGTACCTGAGACTCGTNGAAAATAAAATGTGATGAAAATATTCGACCATTTAGCCACCCTGCACCCATACCGCATTGCTGAAATTCATTCATTAAAAAACCTGACAGGTGACCAAACCTCCGTCGTGGCATTGAGCAGCCTGAAATTAAAGCCAATATATTTGTCCAATTGGGCGGATGAGATTCAAATGTAAACACAAATCATCCTTACGTAAGATGCGATAGACATAAGTAAGGCGAGACGCTAAAGGGTTAGTTAAATCAGCAATTTTTCAAAAAGATCCATTGAAGTGAAATAATAGACCAAAATTACGCACAGTAAGTAGCTCGCTCCTATGAACTACAAACCAGTAAAACTTGCAAGTCTTTGTCTTCATTATATGCCCGCAGTTATAAACTGAGTCCTTTGACCAAAAATTGCTTAGTCATATGATTGAAATCTACGGTAAATGGTGTTGAAATTTAAATTACTTTGATACAAGTCTACGGTAAATGGTCATGAGATTTTACAAGTTAGAACAGGACTAAATATTGTCAATATTTATGCCTCTAATTTTATTACATTATATAGTAATAATTCTATTTAAATATTTTTTACATATATATTATACATTATATTAATAAATTATATAACATATTATATGTACCATATTAGGTATATATTTTTATACTGTTCCCTTACATAATTTTATTCTTAACAGCCATTTAGAAGCTCAACCGGACCCTTCTTCAATTATAAATTTATTAATGGATAAACTATAAGGCAATAAGTTATAATAAAGGCACTCTTTTCTGGAGCAGTAAAAATGCAAACAATTCGAAAAGTTCATTGAAAATCTCAATTTTTTAATTATCAACTTTTTTCCTATCTAAATTACGATTTAAATATAAACTTATGGCCGCGCAGTCAGAAAAATTAAGAGGTCACATTGTCAAAATTGTGATACACTTTTTGTACGTAGATCTGATGCGCCCTTTGCCTGGACAAACTGGGTCAGCGTGACCCACACAAGAGTGAAAAATGCACTTAGACTAGGGTAAAACTAGGTAAAAAGTGCACTTGGACTAGGGTAAAACTAGGTAAAAAGTGCACTTGGACTAGGGTAAAACTAGGTAAAAAGTGCACTTGGACTAAGGTAAAACTAGGTAAAAAGTGCACTTGGAGTAAGGTAAAACTAGATAAAAAGTGCACTTGGATTAGGGTAAAACTAGGTAAAAAGTGCACTTGGACTAGGGTAAAACTAGATAAAAAGTGCACTTGGACTAGGGTAAAACTAGGTAAAAAGTGCACTTGGACTAGGGTAAAACTAGATAAAAATTGCACTTGGACTAGGGTAAAACTAGGTAAAAAGTGCACTTGGACGCACACATTAGGGTAAAAAATGCGTCCACCCCAGTAAACATGTGAGCCCCACGACACAAAACATACGATAATTGAGTTATAATTATCTTAGAGTATTTTCCAATCATGTATCTTGAAAATTATATTGAAATATATCCTATTACAGAGTCCAACAACTAATACTTCAACGTATCCTATTAGAGTATCCGAAAAATTATCGTATTCATCGTATATAAACGTATCGACTNTATTAGAGTATCCGAAAAATTATCGTATTCATCGTATATAAACGTATCGACTTTATCTTTTAAAATTACTACTTTCATTTTCAACCTTAGTAATAATAATTTAAGTAATAATGATGACTAATGTAGTTATGATAAAAGTGATTTCACTGAGAATGATAGAAAATCTCACGAACAAAGCTTTCCAGACCGTGATGGCTGGAGACTCTCCTGCCCCTAGCAGAACTGGTCCTATGATTGGTTGATAAGAGATAACTATACTGGTAAACTATAATGTAACTGATAACTGACAACTATACTGATGAAGTATACTATAACTGATAACTGACAAGTATAATGATAAAGGACACTATAATTGATAAAGTATAATATAACTGATGACTGATAACTATACTGATAAAGTATACTATAACTGATAACTGACAACTATACTGATAAAGTATAATATAGCTGATAACTGACAACTATACTGATAAAGTATAATATAGCTGATAACTGACAACTATACTGATATAGTATAATATAGCTGATAACTGACCACTATGCTGATTAAAGTCCTGGCATGTGCCTGCTCTCTCCAGCACTTGAAAGTTGATGAGTTCCATCGGTTAAGTTTTTATTCAAGTTCAGAATTTGAAAGCAAAGAAGACACTACGTAAGTGCACCGCACTTTCCTCAAAGCGTTTCGGAGACCAGCTTCATTATAAGTTCAAAAAATTTTAGTGAATACAAGTACAACCAGCAGTGAAAAAAACATGGCTTTAATTTTTTTACATTCATGGTGAAATTGTGATTTAACTCGACTAATGATATAAACATTTAGGATTCGGTCATGTCTGAATGATGAAACTGGTGCTTAACTCTATAGTTATCAAGTGCAGCGTTCTAAGGGGCGCAATATTTACTCTGGCTTCTCTGTGGCTTCCAGACAGTTTAATCATTAAAATTATTGATTATAATCTTCAAATATCACGTTCGCAAGTCAGACATCTTTCGAGGCACGACTTTACGCTAGATAGGATTATGTTTGAGGGGAGTCATAAAGGATGCACTCTTAATTTAATGGAGGCGAGGCNTTAACAATGCTCACACACAGTTAACAATATGCGTTAACAATGCTCACACACAGTTAACAATATGCGTTAACAATGCTCACACACAGTTAACA